AAAAAAAAAAAAAATAAAATAAAATAAAAATAAAAATGAAGCAAAAAATGGACAAAAAAAATGTTCACAACAAAAAGTTCGCACTTTTTCTCTACTGATAAAACGAAGTTTTTTTTTTTTTGCAGCAACGCCACAGTCATTATTAACGATACCTCAGTATTGGCATCCGTTGTTACACATTGCTGCTGCTCGTCAAAGTCAACTTTCAAATTATACAAATGCATTTCTGTCATCAAAAGAAGGAAACTATAAAGTTGGTGGAGGATCGGACGGTGAAAGCTCACCAAGAAGCAGGTTAATTGTGCTGCTATCTTCTTTATTCCTTTATATCAGTTATCATTCAAATTGACTGCCTAGATGATATACACATTTATTACATTTATATTTGCTCATATACATAACAGTGATTGCAAGAAATATTTTTTTTGTTAGTTTTATAACTGTTATTACTTATGATTGTGTTTAAAAGCACATGCTTTATTTCAGTGGTCATGTATCTGATCTTTCCCCAACGGAAAGAAAGCTTTACAGTCCTGAAGCAAGTAGTGATAAGGTTAACGAATTGAACCTTAGCCCGCTTGATCTATCGTTAAAGGGCAAAGATGAGATTATTGTTGATGATGACGGCGATGGGCCTGAAGAAAAATGCGCAGATAAAGAAGACAAAAGTTGGACTGATTCAGAGACTCGACCAGCATCGGAGTCAACAAGTTGTTCGGAAGCTCCTGGTTTACGGGCAGAACCTGCAAAGGTTGGCAAAAAAATCCACTGTTTACACATTTTTGAAAGTCTAGCAGAACCAGCTTTTGCAAAGTTTAACTTCACTAAATTATTTTGGTAACTATGCTTTGCATTACTAATAGATCCAGTTCACTGTATAACTATATTTAGGTCGACTTAACACCATCTAGGAATCCGTTTACGTCCAGCGCTTTTATGCAAATGCTTCGCAGACCCTTCCCACCATATCCAACAATATTACCACCCTCTCACATTGTTCCGTTCACTCAGTCACAGCATCCAACTTCTGGAGTAGCGTTACTACAGAAGAACAACAGAGACCGGTACACATGCAAGTTTTGCACAAAAGTATTTCCTCGTTCCGCAAACTTGACTCGACATTTGCGAACACATACTGGAGAACAGCCGTATAAGGTAGAAAATATAATCTGTTTTACATCTTCTTGAATCTTATTCTTTTTTTCTCTGCAAATTGATCTTAGCATGTTATAGTTACCCATCAGCAGCAAATACCAATTTTTGTAATTGTTTTCTGTACTTTGTACATGAAGTTTGTGTAACAAGAGTTGTTACAACCTACTATGTTGAACAAATTTTTAAATTCAATTTTGCTGCTTTGTATTATCATTATTGTGGTTACTATTGTTATTGCTGCCTTTATTTTTATTACTTGTAAGTGTCTTAACATACCGTTGAACGGAGCTTTTAATCAATATATCTAAGAGAACAAATTTATTGTTTCAAATAGGTAGCACTTTAAGTCGTTTTAATGAATTTTCCAGATACTCATTTGCGGAAATCTGCTTTAAATCCTAATTCAGAATTATGCAGTATTTGAAAAAAAAGTTGTTTTTCGCAGTTCTTAACCGTTGCTGATTGCTAATAGCGGATCAAATGAAACTGAAAATTTTAAAAAAACAAATTTGAAAGTCAGATGGATAAAGTGGATATATATTAACAAGGAATTTAGGTTTTGACAGGTACCACTACCAGTAAGCTTTTTCTATTGCATTTTGACTACTGAGCCGACCCGTTAAGCTTCTTAAGTGGCAGCATTTTAGAACTGAAAGTTGGTAAAATAATGTGAAAACATATCTGTACATGGGCTTAACACAATAGCATTTCAGTGCCAGTATTGTGAACGTTCCTTCTCCATTAGCTCTAATCTCCAAAGGCATGTTCGTAATATACACAACAAAGAAAAACCATTCAGGTTTGTTTATCTTTTAGTTACACTGATGAGGAGAAATCATTTTGATTTTCACTTTGATTTACCATCAGAGTAAAGAAAGAAGAGCTTCTCTTTTTAATAAAATATTTGTATTATAAACTCGAATCAACAAATAGAAGTTAAAGTACACAAAAAATGTATTCAGATGCGATAGATGTGACCGTTGCTTTGGACAGCAAACAAACCTTGACAGACATATAAAGAAACATCAAGCAACTGAAGGTACCACACAATCTCCGGAAATGAATGCTATTGAAAAAGCCCCATCATTAATGCTGTCATTTTCAGCGCAAAGTTTGTTGTCACAAATTACACCGCAGTCAGATCGAACAATTTAAATAATTTCTTTTCGCTTTTTCTTCTTTTTTGATTTTTTTTTCATCTTTTCTGCTGCTCGCTTCGTCTCCTTCTGATTAATTCCTGAGAAGTTCATAGAACTCAAAAATGTCTATCATTCCTTTCCTTTTTTTTTAGCTCAGCTTTGGACCCAGATTCATGAAACAGCTCTTATTCTCTTTGCCTAATC